GACTGTTCCATCTAATTCAACGTTACATAATACCTGTTTATTTGTTCAATTTTTGACAGGCTGATTTTGAAATATTTTCTTCCTTGTTCCTCTTAAAAGAGCTTTAGCAAATATAAAGAAATTAGGACATTACCTGCGCAATAAAAAAAAAAAAAAAAAAGAAAGAAAAAAAAAAGCCGACAACCTGAAATTTTTATTCATTGGGAGGTATACAATTTGAGAATTTATGATAATTTAGTGATTTAATTCTAGCGCCTCGTACTTTCCATTGAAACCTTTTTACAATAAACATCACATGTATCTGAGAGGAAAAAATAGTACAGTATCCCATTTAAACAGTGTCGGAAAAGCTTTAGAATAAGAGTTGACATAATCCCTGTGCTGCCATGTGCCAGCATTTCCAATGAGCGGCTACATACAAGAATGAAATAATTGTGCAGAAAATCTAATATAAAAATCTGGATCGGGAAGACCAGAGACAAAAAAAATATTCTGGAGAAATAGTACTCACTGCCACTGTCTAGATGAAATGAATAAAAAACATTTGCACGACTTAGGACAACTCTATAACACTCCTTCCCCCCCAGCGATGCGCCTGCGTCAGAGATTGCGCAGGCGTAGTCGTGTAAGTAGGCAGGGGGACGGCGGACACGCCCTGAACGCCTCCGTTGGATTGCAGGCGTCGACTGGAGAGGATGTCCCTGTAAGAGCTCCTCCCTTCGGGGAGTAGAGCTCCAGGTGACGTCAGAAGAGCGGCCTGGGTGTGAAGGCGGAACCCAAGGAGGAGGTAGGCTGGGCAAAGGGGGCGCGGCTGAGGATGGCGGTGGATTTAGACTAGGCCAGTATGCGGCTTGGGGCTGGGGAGGACAGGGCCTAAGGAGGCCTAACATGTTGGGAGAGTTTATTGCGGGCTCGGATGGAGATGCGGAGGAAAGGCCAACGAGGGGTTGATGCGACCCGGAGGCCCTGGCAGGCTGACCTGATTGGGTGAAGGCCATTGGATTGTCTGTTTGCGTCCACTGTTGCAGAACTGGGGCCGGTTGCGAGGCGTCGGTGGCTGGCCTCTGCGGGACGGTTTGAGCTGGATCTTCGTGGTTTTGGCGGCTCCTCAATTGATCCAGGTGCTGCCGCCAGACAGTGCCATCGGAAATTCTGGCCCTGTAGGAGACGGGTCCTGTTACCTCGATGATGGTGGCAGGCACCCATCGAGGATCCCCAGAATAGTTGCGAGCCCAAACAGTGTCCCCGGGAAGGAAGGAACGGGAGGGAGACCCCAGGTTGCCAGGCTGAATTCCTGAATAGAGGGGGTGTAGTCTATCCAGGGTGGTCCGCAGGCGACGACCCATCAGCAGCTCCGCGGGGCTTTGCCGTTTTAGGGGGCAAGGTGTGGAGTGCTGTGCCATTAAGTACGCATCCACCCTTGCCTGCCAATCGCCTTGGTTCATGCGGCCCAAAGCCTCCTTGGCCGATCGGACTGCCCTTTCCGCCCGGCCATTGCTGGCCGGATGGTAAGGGGCAACTGGCGCATGGCGGATCCCTTGGGCGGCCAGGAATGTTTGGAAGGCAGTAGATGTGAATTGCGGGCCGTTGTCGGACACAACTGTGTCCGGCAACCCATGGGTAGCAAACAACCATCGCAGGGCCCACACAGTGCTCTTGGCTGTGGTGGAGAGCATTAAGATCAGCTCCACCCAGCGAGAGTATGCATCTACAGCCACCAAGAATACCTGGCCGTGGAAGGGGCCCGCAAAGTCTATGTGAATACGGGACCATCTACTTCCACCAAGAATACCTGGCCGTGGAAGGGGCCCGCAAAGTCTATGTGAATACGGGACCATCTACTTCCACCAAGAATACCTGGCCGTGGAAGGGGCCCGCAAAGTCTATGTGAATACGGGACCATCTACTTCCACC